TTATATATTTAAGTTTCATGCAACATGTTATCATCCTAACCATTTTTCAAGCCATTAGGATTGGTCCAATGGCAAAGGATTTAGGTATATTGTATTAGGTGATGTGTTCAAAATTTTCACTTGTATCAAAAAAAAAAAAATTCCTACCCATTTTTTCCTCTAAAAAGGTCAACTTATAATAAAAGCTACTTCCCTCGTATATTTTTTTGCATTTGACCTTTAAGAAAAATAAATTGATTAAATAAATTCAAATAATTCCAACATTACACGAATTCAAATTTCAAAATTGAAAAATGTTCCTTTTAACTAATTGATCAATTAATTGCATCCAATAATAATATTTGGTTTGATACACAATGATTAATTACATCTAATAGTAATAATATATAGATTGGAAATTTTATTTAATTTTAAAATATATAAGATTCACACTATAAAAATTATCTCTTATATATATATATATATATATATATATATATATATTTATTTATTTCAATTCAATTCATCTTGAGAAAGTAATTGAAAAAAGACAAGTAACTAGAAGAAGAACAAAAGAGAGGTGTCGGCATGCATGCAGTAGCCTATGGAGTATGGACCATAAGGATAAAAGGCTTTTACCTATATATCCATGTAAACCCATAACCTCAATAATGGCCCAATTTAGAAGCAGCCTTCATTATTCTCAAACTGTTGAAAAATTATCAACAAATAAACAACAATGTGGTGCCCATTGCCAGCTCCTCCATATCTCTTTGATTCCATGCATGATGTGCTAAACATTACTAAGCTCAATCTTGGTGCATAAATGAAAATGAAACATGTCGGCTAAAGATCAGATAGGAATAGGTTTGTTGACAAAATGGAATTTACATAAACCATGACTTGTCATAATCCAAGAAAGAATTCCCCTCTCTTTTATGGCATCGTGGGCTTTCAATGGGTTAGTCACATTCAATGGCTTTAAATCAACAACCAAATAAAATAAGAGAAAAATGTTTTGTCCTTTTAAATGACATAACTTGTATTATTTCACTCTCGTCAAGAGGTGATATTCACATCTTTATTTTTTGTGTCCATTATCTGTCCCTTATGATTTATATATTTTTTTCATTTAAAATGACACAATTTTATATTCTTCTATAAATAATGCATATTTTTTTCCATAAAATAAACTCTAATGGGGGTATTATCACATTCACAATAAACCATCATTTTCTCTTACATTTTCTAGAACTCGTAGTTTTGTCCTATAACTTCCAAAGCTGGCTTTGCCGATATTGCCAAAGTTCAAGGGTAATGATTTGATGTTGACCCCCACGTGCACATAACACCAGGCCCACACAATCATCTTATATTTCTTTTTTTCCTTTTTATTTGTTTCTAGTTGTGGAAATTATTGATCATTGTTAATTACCATTACTATTATTTCATTCATCATTCTTCTCTAATTGAAGTTTGCTACACCGATGCACAACAGCACACAAGCCACATGCCAAGCATGCTATATGTATTAAAATTTTGATGCTCGCTTCAGGTAGTTCCCATGTAGCACCGACACCGATACGGGACACGTGACACGATATAATACGACACTCCAACATGTTAATTCTAAAAAATGTTAGATTTCGACACGTTAGGACACGTTTTAATATTAAATAATATTTTTAATTTATGTAGTGTATATTATATTTAATATTCAATAATTTAACAAAAAAATGAATCTAAACTTATAATATTCATAAATTTTGCAAAGAAATATAAGATATCTCAAATATTTATATTAAACTCAATAAAATAGTAATCGTAATCCAACAAATCTAATAGTTTGAACTAAAAATTTAACGCAACACAATCTTTAAATCTTTTTTTTTGAATTTTTATAACGCGTGTTGGAGTGTCGGGGAGTGTCCGAGTGTCAGGAAGTGTCCAACACGACACGTTAGGATTTTTGAAGTGTCGGTGCTTCATAGCTCCCCATAAAATATTTGTTTTCTTAGTATAAATATGCATTAATTCAAGTTGTCACTCCCCTAATATCGAGGGATACCATTATCGATTCTATGGATTGCTTTGTTTATATCAGCTTGAACAATGGACAAAGCATTACATTTCCTACAATGTTGGTGGCATATATAACCAATCTATAATGTGCCCTTTTTTTCTTCTTTTTTGGTAAAAATAATTTGAATATCCTGAAACCACCAAAGAGATAATAAAGTATGAAAAAGGAAAAAGGAAAACATAAAGCAGGTTCCACAAATTTTATTTCACTTATTTCAGATTGATTACGTTCTATTTATGCAAATTTGGATCCTCTTACATTGACCATTTTTTCATATGAGAAAATCCAAATCCATTTTATATTATTCGCGTTCTTCAAAAGTGAATGCTTGAGTGTTACTCGCCCTCGCCTCATGATTGGGACATACAGTTGCATGCTTCGAGGGATATGCCTCATTTCCCAAAGAAAAGCCCAATCTAGGATCCAAGGTGGGTCATTGTGATTGGACCAGAAAGCCCAAATGGAAACACTTGCTCTATTTTTATGGCCCAAATTAAATGGGCTGTATGGACCCTAAAAGTCCAAATTAAACTCATTTTTTGGGCCGGTCTTCTAGTTAAGTCCCAAGGTTTTTATTGAATTTTTTAAGCAAAAAAAAATTTGAAAAAGGTTCAAATGGTGTGCTTTTTTTTTTTCCAGTTCCACCGTGCTTATCCTCACACTATTTTATTCTCTCTTTTTTTTTTGGTAATTTATTTTACTCTTTATTTAAAGGGCTTAGTGTTTTTCAATTTAAATAACATAAGTTATGTCATTTTAGGAGAGAGATAGACACAGAAAATGAAAATCATGGGAGAGAAAAAGTGGATGATTTTTTTTAATTTAAAATTTAAATAAAAAATTTTATTCTGTGTCTATCTCTCTCTTAAAATGACATAACTTTATGTCATTTAAAATGATAAACACTTTTCCCTTATTTAAAATAGATAAAATATGTTTGCATAAAACTCGATTTAGTAACTATGTTATGTATCGAGATTATTGTTGTTTTTAATTTTAGTCAATTGTGTTTGACAATTTTTAATGCTAAATAATATTAAAATCATGATGTATGAGAATGCTGTTATTATTATTATTATTATTATTATTATTATCATTATTATTATTTTGATAATCAGAATACTGTTATTAGAAAAATGTTAGTAACACAACTTGTGATACTTTTTATTTAATATTTTTATTATTAAGTAAAATTTTATGTCAATGTTAATAATTAATTTGGACTTATTTTTATAATGGATATTTTACTAAATAATAAAAAATATTTAAAAAGTATGCATTTAATATTTATGATGTATATATTCTTATAAAAGTTTGGTGTTTGTCATTTTAAATGATACAAGTTATGTCATTTTAGGAGAGAGATAGACACAGAAAAATAGAAATCATGGGAGAGAGAAAGTGAGTGATTTTTTTTTAATTTAAAATTTAAACAATTTTTTTTATATATCTGTCTCTCTCTTAAAATGACATAACCTTATGTCATTTAAAACGACAAACACTTTTCCCTTCTTATAATAAATAAGAATTATTTTATTTAAAAAAAAAAAAGAAAAGAAGAAGAAATAAGAAATTTTAAATATCTTAGGAGTGTCAAGTGTGTGCCACCAAAGCACAAAAAACTTCACGTGATTCACACCAAATATCCCTTTACCTCCTCCCTAAAAAAACTGCATATTTAAGCCAAATTAATCACGTGTTAGTAAAAAAAGTTTAAACAAAATCAACCACAAAATCTTAATTTCTTTCCCATAAGGGTGTTGAACTAGTGTCATGTTTGAGGAGACATAGTTTTAATCCCACGCGAACAACTAGCGACTGTGAAAAACCGCACATTGCAACACTAATACAATTGGAAGGTAACATGCACGCACCGTACGAGGTGGTAGTGAGTGACAAACTTGTGTTAAAAAAAACAAACCACCTTAATTCCTAAAATACGAGGACAAGGATTTTAACGGATTTTTCGTGAAAGATTGGCCAAATGCAACGTGCGGTAAAACATGCACTTAACACCTTTGGTTTTGCCTTGCCCTTCGCCAAAGCTATAACACACACTGCATTGCATAAAAGAGAGACCCGGTCACTGTCTCTTTCTCCAATCATCCACTTTGAACAATACATGCCATTTTACTCTCCCCTCTTCTTATAGTCTTTGGTTCCTTCTCTTTCAAGAGTTTATATCAATTCAACTTTATAGGGTCACTCACAATCTCTTTGAAGAAACATTAGGGTATTTCACAATAGCTGGTCCCTACTATAGTACCCTGCCCTCCAAGTTTTGCTCTCACTTATTTTATTTTTTTCATTTTGTTGTTGTTGGTAGTGCCCTTGTGGTTTCAAGGTTGCCTTGTGTTGTGTTCCTACTCAATCTATCTTCCTTCAAACTTTTGCTTCAGTTTTGCTTCCTTGTCATGTTCTTTGATGAGCCTCCATGCTTCTCATTCACAACTTAACTTTCATTTGGAACTCTTGTGCTTTTCTAAGTAAAATTCATGTGCTTTTTTGTTTGGCTGTTTCTGGTTTTCAGCTAAAAAGTTCAATTTTTGAGAAGTGGGTGCCTCTGAATTTGTGTTTTACCTCTCATTTCTCATGTGCTCCTCCTCCTTGTTTATAATGCACCATCAGAAAAGCTGTTTCTTTGAAGCGGGTTAAACTTTTTTTTTTTCATAAAAGTTACACCATGAATTGCTTGTGGATTAATTGATTTATTTTAATATGGTTGGAATCTTTTTTTTTCCTGGCTAAATTTGCCAAACAGAACTTTGTTTCTATCTTGAAAATTTGAGTTTCTCATACTCCTGAAGTGGTTTTGCCTAGCTGAAAAAACACACACTCGATTGGCAATTTTCTATTAAAGGAATGAAAAACTATATTTTGTAACTTTGGCAGAGATATGAGGTTCTTATAGTGGATAGAGTGTAGAAGGAGGACTAGGATGAAGGGGGAAATTGATGAGGGCAAGGAGATTAGCCCAATGTTTCCTAGGTTGCATGTTAAAGATGCAGAAAAAGGAGGACCAAAAGCACCCCCAAGGAATAAGATGGCTCTCTATGAACAATTCAGCATCCCTTCTCAAAGTTTTGCCTCAGGATCAGCATCCTTGTTTCCTTCCCCGCTCAGAAACTACACAGTTCCTTCAATATCTAGCCACGTGAGTCAATTAACGTTCCTTAAACTTTTACCTGTAATCATTTCCTGTATCTTCTTATCTTTTCCCTATTTTCAATGATGGAATGGAACTCACTATGTTTTACCTATCTTTATCCCTTTCACAAGCTAAAGAGAGTACAAGGAACCAAATCAGCCCAAAAGCTTAAGCGGTCGGGTGAGGCTATATTAATGATTTTATATATCTTAACACGCTCCCTCACACGAGAGTCCACACTGGACTTGAAGGGTGGATAATGCACAGGCCCACCTACCCGTGCGAAGAAAGAAACTCCACTTGAAAGAAATTCCACTTGAAAGAAAGTGAGGAGCAGTGAGGATTGAACCCGGTACACCGAGGCTCTGATACCATGTAAAGAATCAAATCAACCCAAAAGCTTAAGCTGTTGGGTGAGGCTATTAATGATTTTAAATATCTCAAGTATAGACTTTTGATACAAGTAAGGAAGAAGGTATTAAGTTGCATGAAATCATAATACTACTTGAAACTGTCACCAGAAGAAAATAATTTTTTTTTACACATATTGTATAGCAAAACCTATAAGAATATACTTGAATTTTCGAACATAATTCAAGAAATAGTAAAAAAAAGAAAAAAAATCACTCCCATGATCTTTCAGTAATGAAAGAACAGTTTTACCACTGCTCCAGTTCGTCCCCTTAATTTAAATAATAGTAATAATAAAAAAATATTTTAAGCCTTAAATGATATATTGAAATGGAACACACAACTGTGCCAGCAATGATGAATTACTTCATCTATCTCTTTTCTTTTAATCACTTTTCTTTCCTTATTCTCTTATTTTCAAATATTTGTCTGTTTCCTCTCCTTCCTTTTATGTTTCCTTATCTTTGAACAATAAATATCACTCTTTTTCTTGTGGGAGAGGGGGAGTGGCACAAGTAGTTCTGATTTTCTCTCTCTCTTCTTTTTGTTTTCCCCATTTCTTCAGAGGGAAGCATGAAGTACTGAGCAGCATACATGCATAAACACACATGCAATACATATTGACATATCTTTACCATTAGTTTTTTCTGTTCACCTTTTATAGCCAGTTTAATTATGATGTCTATACTATGCTGCAGGTCAATAGCAGTCAAAGCATCCAATTCTGCACCTCCACTGCACCTTCTATTCTGGCTGAGAAGATTCAAGCCTATAGTTCCAGAAAGATTAACTTAACGAAATTGATGGTGAGTCATGAGTAAGAACCTATGAAACTTACAAATTACCAAAAATAAACTTCTGATGTTCATTGTCATTTACTGGTAAATGCAATTTCTTTCAGCAAAATAATTTCATCAGTAGTAAGAATTCTCTGAAAACACTTGATGGTGAAGATGCTTCTATAAATTCTGGTTCTGCCAATGGGAAAATTTCATGCTGTAGCATCATCCAAAATGACAAAGATGAGGACAAACTTGCTTTGAGCTGTTCACTTAAAAGTCTAAATTCATTTAGAAAGATGGTGAATTCACCTGGAGCCATGGAACTGAAGTCAGTAGAAGAACATGGGAAGAACCAGATGGAAGAGCATACAGAAGTGAGTGAGATAAGTCAGAAGCCAGAGGAAGGGTCTCCTCTCTCATTAAATGGTTTTAGTGATATGACAGATGCATCATTAATCTCATCGGTGCAAGGTTGGAATTCTAAACCAAAGAAGAAAGAACATAGATCTTTGAAGGAAGAAATTAGAAGTATTTCAGAAGATAGGTTGAAAACATTGCAAGGTAGCAATGACCACACACATGAGGAACATGCAGCTTTTGGGGACAAAATCAACTTAAGGGACCATTGCATGGAGAAGCCAGTAACCAGTGATGTCCACAATTGTCCTGGTGAGTTGGAAATTAGTAGAAGTTGCTTCCTAAGCAAGAGAGATGGGAATAAAGATGAGGATACATATAAACATTCTGATGCCTTAAATAAACCCAGCTCAGAATGTACATTGGGTATGGATATTTCCCCTGACAATGTTCTAGAAATTATAGGTGAAAAGCAATTTTGGAAAGCAAGAACTATTATCATCAAGTAAGTTTATCTGTCTATGTTTGGTCTTTTTCTCTTTTTGTTAAACTTCATAAATTTACATCTGAACTAAGCTGAGTTTGTTATTGTTTACAGATAATCTCTATAAGTTTCTGAAACTTCTATTGCATGGTTTTTAATGTGATCTATAGTAATTTTGGTTCCCCTTTATAAAAATAAAATAAAATTGTAGCAACTTACAGATACACATGGGTTCCCCGATGCTATACTAAACTTCAAAGCCAGACAATGTCAAAAGATTGATGTCGGTCATCTCTATCTGCTAGGTTTATGAATTATTGGTGCTTAATTTTCCTACTTCCTTAAAATATTTATTATTAATGGATGAAATATTACGCTAGTTATATGCATCAAAACATTGTCTCTGCTCAAGTGTAAATTTTAAATGACTGTAACTGCAAAATGTATATATCGCAAGAACATGTCAATTGCCAAATTTTATAGTATATGAATCCTGAGACCAAAAGTTTATGCAGTTTGATTGAATCTCCAAGGATTAGTTGGTACACACATGCATTATATAGCATGTCTTATACTTTTTGGTTTGAAAGTACTAAACAGTGGAAGGCTTACGATTCACAATATCAAAATAAGTGTTTTGAGCGAATTAAGAGTATCAAAATAAGTGCTCATATATTTCACTTATTCATATTATTTTTTTCTTTATTTTGCTCCCTACTTGGACCTGATACTGACATTAATTACTATATTCAGTCAACAGAGAATCTTCCTCCTCCAAGTGTTTGAGTTGCATAGATTGATAAAGGTAATTGCCGGACTGAAATATTATTGACTGTTTGTTCTTATAAATACGAGTGCCTTGCTTTCACTCACATTGTCGTATGAGAAGTAACTACATCATGTCTTAAAAGCAGGTACAAAGATTAATTGCCGGGTCACCCCATTTATTGCTTGAAGATAAACTCATACTTAACAAGTCACCACTCAAAACATCAGCAGCATCCAAGCAATTACAATCTGACTTTGTCAGTAAACGACCATCCTCAGTTGTTAAAGTAGATAGCAAGTCTGAGAAGGCCACAACTACTGAGCATGATAAAAACAATGCAGTTGGGAAGATTCCCCTTCCTTGTGTCAACAACATAAGCAAAGGCCAAGTTAATCAGCCTTCAAATTATGGCCATCATTTAGGAAACCTTGCACTAGCCTCTGCAGATATAAATTCCAAACAGTCCTCAAGCTGTGTCTACCCTCCACCAGGAAACCAATGGTTAGTTCCTGTCATGTCCCCATCTGAAGGCCTTGTATATAAGCCAATCATAGGGCATTGCCCTCCAAATTCAGGTTTCATGGCACCCTTATATGGTGCTTGTGGTACAATGAGCTTCAATCCAGGGAGCAAGGATGTTTCAGATGCATCAGCTCTTGCACCAGGTTCTCAACAAAGGATTGGAATATTTTCTGGTTCATCTTTACCTCAGTTCTTACCACCATGTGGCCCACCATTCATGCATCCATCTATATCAGCTTCAGCTATTGAGGAAATGGGACAGTCTAATGGTCCTGAAAATCACCAATCATGTAGAGAAGTCAATTCTGCCATATTGTACCAAAGCTTATCTAACATGTCCAGCAATATGAGTCAAGTGATGTCAAGAAACATTTCAACTTATCAATCAATGAAAGATAAAGAATCACAAAGAAGCACAGCTAGTAGTCCATCCAAGAGGGTGAAAGGAGATGTACTTCCTTTGTTTCCTGTGTCACCAACATTTTGGTCATCAGCAGATAGGAACACACATGTTGAAAACCAGCCAAGAGTAATCAAGGCTTTGCCTCATAATCCAAAATCAGCAACTGAATCAGCTGCACGGATATTCAGGTCAATACAGGAAGAAAGGAAACTTTGTAACTAGCCTATCTCATAATATGTCTATTAAGTCAAGATATTCGAATTTGACAATATAGCCTCACACTCTTAACACTGTATCTATAACCATTTTTCTCTGATAAATATAACCCCGGAATGGATTCATATACATAGACACACATACACATGTAATATATACCAACCACTTTAGGAAATGCAGAAACTTCATCCACCTCATATTGGCAGCTCTGGCTTGTAGAAAGAGGTTACATCTATGGAACAAAAATCATATGTTAATATATAAATATATTGGTAATAATCATAAGTTAATATTGAAAGAAAATAATGTATCCTTCAAATAGCTAAATGAACATATGGATGGTACAAGCGTAAAGGGTAATAATAAATGTAGACGTTTTGGGCAATGTCATACGCTATTATTTGTTTGTTTATTTATTGGGTTCATCTTTTTTGCAGTCAATATAGCCTCAAACGACGTTGTTTTTTTTAGCAAAAATCAAGGTATTTTTGTAATTATAATTTATTTTAAAGTTATAATAGTCTTTATTATTATAATTTTTTTTCAACTCAAAGCGACGTCGTTTTAAAAGTAAATATAGATATTCATTGTAAAAATATTAAAATCTTATTTATTTTTGACCAGGTGCTTCTAAGAGTAAGGGTGTTGAAAATTAGCCTAGAGTGAAAAAAATAAATAAAAGAATTGGATCAACAAAAATTGTATCCAAATAAATATATTTTGTCCCTATTTGGACTTTGATTTGGGCCTGTCTGAACAGTAACTGCCGCCAATTGTGTCGGGCAAACCCGATAGTTTGATGTCTAATTTTTTTTTTTATCAAATTATTATTAAATTATATAATACATGAAAATTTTCAGCTATATTCTCTTTAGGTTTAATATTACTCTCGTGATTCCAAAACTGATTCTAAAACCAAGTTATTTTGAATTAGAAAAAAAGAATTTATCATGATAAAAACTAATGTAAAAAAATATGGGATATGATATTATATCTATTTTTTTTATATTTATTTTGAAAATTGATCCTCTTATGTGAAAAAAAATAATATAGTCACGTGGAAAGATCACAACCATACAAATGTGAATCAACATTTATGATTTTATAACTATCTATTTTAATATTTTTTTCTCTTCCTTTATTACTATTGATCTATCTTTATATAATTATGATTTTTCACATGACTATGTCATATACTTTTTTTAATATGAGATGATCCAGATCCATTTATTTTATTTACTTTTCACAACAACATTAGATCATAATCTTAATTAATAATAGAAGAAGCGAGAAATAGTGAAAATCAATTGAAATTATAATCTAATAATCTAAAAAGAATTAGATAAAATAAACATGACAAAAAAATAAGCATACTATCGTATCCCAAAATAAATAATTTTGGACAATAAGTTGACTTGCCAAACCTATGGTGTGAGATGAGTTAGCAATTTGCTAGCTCCCTATATTTTTTACCTAACCCACACGTAATTTGCTTAACTTACACCTGTTTTAATAAGTTTAAATATATAGGAAGATATCTGAACATTTTTCTCAAACACGCAACAATAAAAATTGACAACGACCTTATTAATTAAAAATGAGATCATGTTCGTTTACAATTTAAGATAAACTGTGTAAAATCTCCACTATTAATTTTTTGTTCGTGTGTAATAAAATATTAATGATCGATATAGTCGTTTATCTGCAGATGTAACCAGGTTTAATGAGATCATGATCCATCAGATTAAATTAAATTAAATTATTAACGTGTTATACAGATATTGAATGTTAGCCATCAGATTTTTTTAACTGCAGTTCCTATAGTTCCTTTTAGAATTATATTGGATTCAGATTCCTAAAAAAGAAACCAATGCAATGAATGCAACCTCCCAAGAATAAGCATTCACATATCCACAAGAAAAGTAATGAAGCTAAACGTTGAAAGTTGATAATTTTGTTAGGAGTTTTATTTTGAAACAATTCATTCACCCAATTCATTCAATCCCTCTAATCATTGTCAAAAACTTAAAAAATAAGCAAATAGAATTGGTCTAGACATTTAGTGGTGAGAAGTTTGGATATGTTATATTAGGTTATGTGTTTATTCTCACTTGTATAACAAAAAACTTAAAAAATAGTTTATTGTTGTTTGTAAAATTTATTAAATATATATTAATTAAATCAATTAATAATAATAATTATCTAAAAGTCGTTGATGGCAATAGTTAAAATGAACTCCCTTAAAAAAATGCTTCAATTTTCGGTCTCTATATTAAATTTTTCTGTCCCATATGGTAGCCCCCAAAGTAGACCCTATTATTGGTATCTTATGAAGTATAATGTAATTTCCTTTGAAAAAAACTTTTAAAGACACTTAAACCTACTTTTGCAAAGAGCAGATTTGAAGCATTTATGAATGTCATCTTCTCATTGTTTATATACTAAAGAATCTTAAAATGAACGTTGCCATCATCAACATCAAAACGTTGAAGGAAAGGAAAAGAAAAATCTAGTCATGGTTCAAAATGGACTGAAAAAGTTGTTGCATGAAAGTTTGGTGGTTTTGGAATTATTCTAACTTGTAACATCTTCGAATTATTATACCTTGTTGTAACAATATGATTGGAGGGAAAAAAAATGCTTAGAAATGAAAAGAAAATCATACACTAACCCTCCAACAATTTACTTTCTCTAGAAACTGCTCCATCATCCATGAAGAACTTGGATACAAATGAAGATTCAAAAAAATGAAAAGGGCCTTTTAATAAAATTACATTACAATACAACATGGTTATGGTGGTGAATTTTCAACAATGAGCATGTGATTGTGGAAAAGTATAGCTACATAGACATAACGGCCTAGCCGAAAACAGTACACGTGTAACCACAATTGACCATAGAAGTGGGTAAACCAATGACAATAGAATGGGCCGAACCGAACCGAACCCAAAACAAAACACCAACATAATACATTATAACAAACAACATTAATAAACTCAAAAGCAAAACAGACAAAAATATATGAAACTTTAGGCTTCAAAGAACCACTTATGATGTTACTGTTCGTTTCAACTTTCCTTTATCTGAGGATTCAGACAAGGCCAAAAGAAAAAAAGTGAAAAAAGAATAAAAGTAACATTCACCCCACTTAGCACGATTTTATAGAGAGTTGATAAATGAAAAAAAAAAAAAAAGAGAGCTTGAAAGGACAGTACCATTCCCACATCCATTGAAATCTGGCGCAATTCAAGAATAGAGAAGAAAAGTGTGAAGGGATCCATCACTTTGTTCCTCAAACGTCTTTCTTTGTTATTGATTGAACTGTGTATATAAACTGGCTTTCTGGCCATACCACGATATAGCTACATGGTGATGCGATTCTCACGCTTCTCTGCTTTTTGTTTTCTGTTTTTCTTCCCTCTCTAATCCACCATCCAATGCCTTTTCCATCCTTACAGAGAAAACAGTAAAGCAAAGTTTTGATTTTGTTCATAACTTTCTGGTTTTTGAACGGTATGATTAGTGTTGGTTTTATGGGGAGCTGATTTTCCATCGTTATTTGATGTGATCTCGAGCTTTATTGGTGTTTTGATCTATTATTTGATATGGGTTCTGATTTTCTCCCAATAAGGAATGATACCCCATTTGGTGGAATAGAATGATGCCCCATGTGATATAATAGTATGACGCGTTTGTTTTAATCTGGTTTTTCCTTGAAAAGTGAACCTTTTTTTCTTTTATGCATATGAGGTGTTTTTGTGATTTGATCATGTGTGAAGGCACACAAGTACCAAGTTCCTAAATTTGATTGGAAGAGAGCAAAGGGAAAACCATGCAGTCTAGGTTGGAGGAAGGGAAGGACCCTGCTTCCATAAGAACTACTCCCTCTAGGCCCTTCCCTTTGAGACTTCTGCAGTTCTTCTTGCTCTTTTTGGTTATTGGCTTGGGTGCTTCGTTTCTTAGTATGTACATGATTAGGCATTTTGGTATTCATAACATGGCTCTGGTACAGTCTACCTTCAAGCCTTGCTTTGAGCAGCCAGCGACCTTAGAAACTTGGATTAGGCCTCCATCAGGTTTGATGCATAAGATGAATGACACTGAACTCTTCTGGCGTGCTTCTTTTGTTCCAAGGATCAAGAGTTATCCTTTTAAAAGAGTTCCCAAGATTGCCTTCATGTTCTTGACCAAGGGACCCTTGCCACTGGCACCACTCTGGGAGAAGTTCTTTAAAGGGCATGAGAGGCTTTATTCCATCTATGTTCATTCACTGCCATCTTACACTGCTAGTTTTCCACCATCATCGGTTTTTTATAGGAGACTGATTCCAAGCCAGGTATAAGCGAGCTTTATTTTAATTTACGTTTGTTTTTAAAACATGGTTCATGTGGTTAGGTGCTATATGTATTCATCGGGACAGTAGCATTATCTGTATGGATTGTCATCTGTCAATTGACATGTCTGTCATCAAAATTGTTTATTTTGAGGCTTAGCAATGCCAGCTATTTATTTGCCTTTCAACCTATCCACCTTATTTGTTATGGAGTTTCATGATGGGTGCTAATTTTAGGTCATATCAAATGATGATTATATTCTAGTCCTTTGTCCATATAAGATCTAGTGGAGAATTGGTCTTTTTTCCTGGGATAAACATATATGGGTAAGTTGACCTTCAATTGGGGGAAGAACCCATCTCTCATTTTGATGTTGTGGCTGTTGTGTTTGTGATTCTGCCCAAATTTATGATATGTAGCTATTAAAAAGAAGGAATTTTTTATCAGTTGTAATTTTTATCACCCCTAGTCTAGATAGCTTCATATACCATCACTTTTTGAGGTGTGTTAAAAGCTGTTGACTGTTGTATTGTATCATTTTTCAGAGATGTATGCATGTACAATTTATTATGAATTGTAGTTCTAACTCTTTTATGAATTAAAATTTTATTCCATGAAGACTGTTTTGGTTAATAAATTCAGTCTGCCAGCATCTTTTTATAGGAATTACTGCATTGAGTCTTGACGTTGGTGAGAATAGAAAGATAAGCTTTCTATGTGATCGGATCGGTTTGAAAGGCTATTTAGTAAATCATCCAGCTAGAAGGGGACATTGGAATGCAGAGAGTATTCATGGTCTATGAATTTCTTGATGCCTAATGGAAAGAAAATAAATGTTTTTGAAATTGGACTAATTTGCAAATTATGATGGGGGTTGAGAATTTATGATATAATAATTATTAGACTAGAGAACTAGGACACAAGAATTGCTGGGTATGAGAGAGAGAGCCGGAGGGGAAGGAGAATGAAGCTTCAAGAGCTTGTTCTTGGGTCTACAGGATGATTCAAACATCTTGTATGCGCTATGAGACCATCACCACCTTCTTGCCTTAATGTATATGGCTAGACCACCATCTTAAGTGTTATATATAAGCTTGGGTCAGCTTTTATGTGGCATGGTTGTGATACTTAGTTGCAGGACTCCTATTAATCTGTTGTTTGAATATTAATTTTGTTGGCATAAACTCAAGAAAAGGTCATCTATTATAGTTTTCATGCGACTTTTGTACGGGTTTGTGCAGAATCCTGATTTGCATGAGTTTAATCAAAATCAAATCCTTGTATTTTAGGAGAGATATCAAATCCCTTAATTTTAGGGATTAAATATAATTCAGGTTGAATATTTTCTGCTTTTAAGAAATTTCTAACTAGGCATCTTCTTTACAGGTGGCAGAGTGGGGAATGATGACTATGTGTGATGCTGAAAGAAGACTTCTGGCTAATGCATTGCTTGATATCTCAAATGAATGGTTTATCCTCTTATCTGAGTCCTGCATTCCTCTCCAGAACTTCAGCATTGTCTACCGTTACATATCACGTTCAAGGTATAGCTTTATGGGTTCATTTGATGAACCTGGTCCTTATGGGAGAGGACGCTATGATGAAAACATGGCACCTGAGATCAACATGAGTGACTGGCGCAAAGGCTCTCAGTGGTTTGAAATTAATCGAGAACTTGCTGTTAGGATAGTTGAAGACAGTACTTACTATCCTAAGCTCAAAGAATTCTGCACACCACACAAATGCTATGTTGATGAGCACTATTTCCAGACAATGTTAACCATTAGCACTCCTCATCTTTTGGCAAATAGAAGCCTCACTTATGTGGACTGGTCAAGGGGTGGTGCTCACCCGGCTACCTTTGGGAAGGACGACATAAAAGAGGAATTCTTCAAGAAAATTTTGCAAGACCAGACTTGTCTTTATAATAATCAGCCAACTTCTCTTTGTTTCTTATTTGCAAGAAAATTTGCACCTAATGCTTTGGCTCCTCTTTTAGATATATCACCCAAAGCTCTAGGAATTTGAGAAGATCATGGCTATCTTTGAAGGAGTGCTGATTAGAGCATGTTAGTTAGCTATCAGCTAACTCCATTTTAGAGGCATGATTCATCTTCTTCTATTCTCCCTATTTTGCAGAAATTTTGAGTTGTTCCTCCTGCGTTTAGATGTGTAGGACAATGAATCTAAACCACATTTTATAGAAGTATTAGTCAAAATATAGACTAATATATATTGTTGGATTACTTGTTAATTAAATAAATATAGTAGTTATCTTTTTGGAATATGTCTTGCCACTAGCACAAGTTATTTTTCCTGAACATTATATGATGCAATATCACCTACACTTATATTATTCTGAGGCATCCGGTTTGTGGTTATTGCAAATGGCAGTTTAGTCTCCATCCCTGTTACTTATTTTGCCTTGCAACTAAGATGCAGAGGCCATATCTATGAAGCATACTCAGATGTCAGAAGTATAATCTTGTTTCCTGTTGTTTGTAGGTTAAAATATCATTAAGCAATCATTTTGCCTTACTTTACATTGAGAGTAGTGAGAAGTGAGATAACTCAATTATTGATTCATTGTCAACTCTAGGCACATTGGGTTGTGAGAAGTGAATAGTTTATAAAGTAACTCAAATTTTCAACTCTTTCTGCAAGCTACTTTTTCAACATTATATTTATTGATTCAAATTTACGGAGTATATATTAGAATTGTGAAATACTTCTTAGGAACTTCTTCAGAGGAATATATATATGAACGATTGCTCCTGATTATTGAAAGAAAGTGTCCAAAACGTTATATTCTTCATTAAATATCTTAAAAATATTCTGTTACTCCCATTATACACTACATATGCACATATCTAATGATTTTAAAGAGAGAGCGTAAAGCAATGTCCCCAAACCAATGCATATATCAAATGATTTTATAGGTGCAATATTGTTTTACTATGTGTCAAGTAAAACAATGCATATATCAGGTCATTGCAGCAAGAAATAATAAGACAACATTGCCTTTTGATTAAATATTAACAGTGTTATAACTTATAGTTCATCATATCTCCCCTCTACCACGGATACGTCCTGCTGATACTTTAGAACATAACTAGCAGCTAATGATGCATGAAGTGCAGCCCCATAAGGAAGTGCTTCTTCGTTGAACTTGAAATAGGGTGAGTGTACTGACTCAAACCGTTCATGTAAGGCATTCTTTGTTCCAAGCATGAAGAAGTAACCAGGCATAACCTCTTGATAGAATGAAAAGTCTTCAGCTCCCATCAATGGTTGCATGTCATTAACTTTATTGATGCCAAGCAAACTCCCTGCAACATTTCGAAAATGCTGGTGCAAGTTACCATCATTTATGGTTGCAGGAAAGAAAGGTTTCTCTTCATCAAAGAAGTTGACAGTTGCATTGCACCTATGCACAGAAGCTTGCCCAGTCACAACCTGCATAAATGAATCAGCCTTTAGCCTCTACCAGGATTGCAATGAAAACTACACTAGAAGTGCAAATGTGCAATCATTTTTTAGTTACAGACTCAATCTTTTCCATAAAGGGTGGCTAGTGCACAAGGCTCTTACTATTATGGACTATACATGTAGCCTTACCTTGCACAAATGCTCACCCTCCAAGTCTCAAACCCATAAGACCCATAATCTTCTCTACAAAAGGAAAAAGAACGCCTACTAGATTTTGGCCCCATCTTTCTATGTGCATCTCCTTGCATTTTCAAGAAAAACTACCCCACATGGTTCCTCAAATTTGTGCAATCTATAATCCATTTGCAGTTATGTTTAATTATTCCTATGACCATAAATAAGAATAATTAAGAGACACAACTGTGATGCTAATGCAGCATTTTTATGTCGTGTTTGTCCTTATACACACATACTAGCTTCCTTTTTTTTTTTTTTTTTTTTGGAGTTACCCAACCCTAATTACCTCTTTGAGGCGAGTTGGCTCCCTCCGGTATCCCCACGAGCTTCGACTCTTTGAGCCGGCTATGGGACTAATCCGGAGTGCGGGGGAGCAGTGATGGCTAAAGGTTCAGCCCCCTCCCCAAGAATGCATTCAGCAGGAATCGAACACATGTCCAACCCCACTAACTCAGCGCCAAATTACCAACTGAGCTGCACCCATTGGGTCACATACTAGCTTCCTTACTAGTAAGTATCCAGTATATTGTATATGTAATTATAAGTTAAAAAAGTATACATTAAAAGATAAAAAAAAAATTTAAGAAAAAAGTATTTAAAATTATTAGGACATATGCATAATATATAATTTCAGTTTATGGATATAAAATGAATTTTACTTCTCCATGATATACCTGCTCAATGCGCTGTCTTAATTGCTTGAAGCTTTCTTTTGAAAAAGCACGGAAGGTGCCACCAATTGTGACAGAATCAGGAATAACATTGAATGCGCCACCTCCCTGGAATTTTGCTACCGTCACCACCTGTGTGGAGATGCTATTTATTAGGAAGGCACAAAGGATTGTTACCATATAAACAAGGAAAGTCCTTGAAACAAGCCTTTCTTATATTCAATAAGCAATAATAATCACATATAGACATGTACACACGCTCATGCACAAACACAAAGAAACGGTCCTAGAGTCGTGTTCTGCTATCACATCTTTTTTAGGGGGAATTTTTTGTGTAAGGTGGTCCCTACAAGTTGTGTGTATCCTAAATTAATCAATAATTGATACATCATTGTTGGATATTAAATAATAACTAAATCCTTGTGCAACGTAATTATGTTATATTTAAAGTAATGATGTGTCAGTTGTTGATTGATGTAGCCTATACAGCTTGTGCAAACAAAGTCTATGCTAGTCTATCTACTTTTTCACCGACACGTAAGTAATATTGTCACTTCTTGTGCCCTGAAATATTTTCCTGTTCAATTAGCATCATTGTAAACAGATGAAGCTGTGGTATATTTTTTCACAAAACAGTGAAAACAGCACACAAGACAGTGTGTAAGCGTTGTATGAGTCATGAGTCATTTCAATCTCTATTCTTTGATAAAGAATAAGAAAATCATGGAAGTGGATTATCATATATCCATGATCTGTTATACGGATGCTTCTATTTTATAAAATCCTAAACCCTTGATTTTCTCATCAAAAGTTACAATTCTACACTTTATTCTCCAGAGTGCACTCCTCACATTCGAAAATCCAAATCCAAGTTTAAAATCAGCTGACATTCAATTTTTATTAAATAAAAAGCTAAAAAACTGTCAGGTTAAATTTTCTTTTCATCATGGGTTTACTTTGCATCTATATCATGGGTGCCTCTTCTAGTACTTAATACAAGAATATACAAATCCAACATCTCAAACAAGTAAAGTGAACAAAAGGTAGAACTGGTACTTCTAAACTTTAGGCAGAAAGCATTCAAAAAAGAAGAGTGAGTGAAGGCAAGGGAAGCCAAGAATTACTAAACCAAATTACGTTGCTAGCTTAAGCTTAGGCTTTGCATAGTCATAGGTTCAGAGTACTGTATAAAGGTTTTGATCTTAGCAATGACATAAGGAACAGAAAGCATAAATGAGCAGGTGGTGGCAAGGGAAAAGGAAGAAATAAAGTTGAAAAAAATGTACCTGTGAGTCCAGAGGATCAGCCTCACGAGAAACAAGATGTTGTAAGCTAACTATCACATTAGAAGCTGCCAATATAGGGTCAATAGAATGTTGAGGAATAGCTGCATGACCTCCCTTTCCACTTATTATTGCTTCAAAGAAGCCACTTCCTGCCAATATTGGACCAGACCTTGACGCCACTTCACCTATTGGAAAGTTAGGTGCCACATGCAATCCAAAGATAGCAGTAACATTTTCTATGACTCCAGCATCTAATATTCTCTTAGCCCCTCCACCTCCTTCCTCTGCTGGTTGGAAAACAAGAACAACAGTTCCCTGTTTAGACAACAAAATTATGAATTTATCAGGGATCCATGAGAGGATGAAGACAACAGAACCAGACATTTCAGATAAAAGTAGCAGATATGGCTGACTGTGCTGGAATACTAGAATCATAAAGGGGCCAACTTTAACTTTTTCTCTTTTCGCTTTCTTTTCTCCCTTCTCCTAGATTGTGTGACAGTAGAAATAACCAAGGATGATTTTTCAAGAGAATACAATTGAACGGATTAAGATGCATAACAGATGATAGAATGATTGTAATTTACAAAGTTGGCATGATGGACTATATTGATTGGAATTGATAATTGGGCAGCAAATTACGAATATGTTAGAAACCGAAAACATGTTTTGACTTTGATTTAATTGGAATTATATAACAAAAAAATTTAAGAGAAGAAAACGTATATAAGTATATAACCATCAAAATGGAAAATTTCTTGAGCAGATGGCAAATTGGAGTGACAACACAATTTAAATTGACATCGGAAGAGCAGTGCCTGAGGAAAAATAAAGCATAACATAACAAGAAATGTAAATAAAGATGCCAATATAAAATGCCATACTTGTATCTCTTTTTCATGCTCTTTGAGAATCTTTGCAGCACCAAGAAGCATGGTAACATGAGCATCATGACCACATGCGTGCATCTTTCCAGGTACTCTACTCTTGTGCTCCCACTCCACCAATTCCTACGGTTAGATATTGAAATAAATCAATTAAACATAGAACAAAGCAGAGTGTCAATATATTTTGATAAAAGGCAAACAAAACTCTTTGTTCATATTTGCAAAGAATCATTTCAATCCAAAAACTTAAAGGCCTAATTGAAATCCACTTTAATCTTATATTAACAATTGTTGTCTTACCCTAGATAGATAAAACTATAAGGAATCAGAAGTCAAACCCCTGGTTCAAGCATATAAGAAAAGAGAATATAGATAGAATAGATATAACCTGCATGGCAAGAGCATCCATATCAGCTCTGATTGCAACAAAAGGCGAACTTCCTGTTCCTATGAAGCCAATAACACCTGTGACTGCAACTGGGTGTTTATATGGGATACCCATTTTATCCAATTCTGCTCTTATCAGTTCACTTGTCTCAAATTCCTCATAACCCAATTCTGGATTCTCATGAATCTTCCTTCTGATTTTCACCATCCAATCAAAAACCTCATGCTTCTTGGCAATGTCTAGAAAGTTAGTGAAGAGTTGGTTTGATTTGGAGGAAGAATCTGTTAATGAGAAGATGGAAGTTGCAGCAAAGACATGCAAAATGATGAACAAATGGACACAGTTGAAGAAACCCATGTTGATGTTTCTTCGCAAGTGGTTGTGAAAGAGAAAAGAGTGAAGAAGAGTAAGCAAAATGAGAATGAAACGAACCACCTCGGTTTGAGGGACAGAAATCTTAAAACGACAACCATTGCTTGTCTTGGAAAACTTTTTATAAGAAAATATTGCTGATTCACTGAAACAATCTTTAAAATATGAATACAACTTTAAATATGAATACAACTTTATCCGGTAACAGCACGCCACGTGTATTAAATTTTTTCTTTACATTTGGCTTTTTTTTATTGCGCGTGAACAATCTCTCTATGATAGATATATAAATGAATTAGGCCGGTCTATAGAGACTGCTACGGTGTAGTCTATATTAGGTCAATCTTAATTTATTATAAATAGTCAAAGAAAATAGATTTAGACTTTTTAGAAAAATATATTTAGAAAATAGGTTTTAAGCTTTTTCATACACTTAAGGCCTATAAGTCTATTTATATTATATTATTTATTTTAAATAAGTGTGGCCTATAAACCTACAAGTCTGTTTATATTATATATTTATTTTAAATAAAATTATTATTTTAGTAATATTGAATAATAAAATAATGAGTAAATATCTTTTTTGGTCATCAACAAATTTTATGATGCCCATTTTAGTCTCTAGCAAATAAAAAGGTCCATCGTAGTCCCTAAAAATATTAAAATGGACCCATTTAGTTGAAATCGTGGTCCCTCACAAATTCAAAAAAGACCCGTATTAGTCCCTAAAAGGACTAAAATGGGTCTATTTTGAATTTTTTAAGGACCACGATGGACCTTTTTATTTGCAATGGATTAAAGCGGGCGTCGTGAAATTTGCTGAGGACCAAAAATGGTATTTACTCTAAAATAATATTATTTTAGTTATTTATTTTAATAATTCAATATTTAATAGTCTTAAATAGGCTAACAGGCCTAGACCAATATTTTTATTTTTTAAATATAGGTAAGATCAAACTTGTAATTTAGACCTACATAAAGCTAAAAGGTCAAGTCAAGCCTCAATTTTTTTACACAAATATGAAAACCGAACCAATTATATCACTGATTTTTTTGGTCGACCCGACGGAGACAATGGATAGTTTATGAACCAACAAATTTTTTATTGGATGTCTAATGGATATACATAGAATTTATTGAATTAAATAAAATGTATTTGAATGTAAAAGAAGTCCATGTGCATCTGTTACAGCTATTTTTATTATTTTTTATTTTTTTATTTTTTGAATTATTGGATTGTTTAAGTAGTGAGTGATTATTTTGTTATTAGAATTACAATTTTTTAAATGACAGGTGCGCCTATCTAATGTTAATGGGTAGTTAATTAATTTTATGGTTGGATTGTATTATCTATTTGAACTCAAATCCCCTATTTTCTTAAAAAATAGATGTACATAACAGCATCCGGTTGAAACAAATGCTAAGCAAGAAAATGGAATACACATCAAGAATGTAAATGCATGTAATTGAGATAAATGCAAATGTGAATAATGAAATGTATTTAGATAAAGGAGAGAATAGCAATTTTTTTAATAATAAAAAAAACTATAACTTCAAATGGACGAGTTGAATATTCATCCATCCTATCATTAATGGGTGAATTGAATATTCATACATTGAATGAATCATGCATGGAAAGGGTGTTTTAATATGTATTTTAATAAATCTTAAATGGATTGATACTTTATTTATTGAGAAAAAGTTTCCATGAACCTATATGTTGGTATACTGGACTAATAATATTAATAACTTGTCAATAATATTCTATTAACATTTTACAACTACTGGCTCTGGTGCTCTATTAAATTTATCGAGAAATTGTTTTTTTTTTTTTTGTTATTTATTCATTATTATGACCCAATTTAAAATTGAACCGATTGATCTATTTGCCACCTCCAATGAATATATGCCTCTTAAAGCACATATATAGATAGGGTAATCAATCGGTAATGTTACAGGATTTTTTTCGTTTTTCCTATATAGACAATTTATCATGGGACCCATTCATTGTTTTTTCTCTCTCTTGAAATCATTTTCTCTCTCTCAAAATGTTCTCTCTGTAGGACAAATTTTTTTTTCCTACAACAGTACAAACGCATTCCCCATATAGATATATCATATACGTGCCTTTTCAGAACGCCCTTTTTTTGTTAGCACGACACAACGCCCCTATGTGAGAACGGGATGATGGGTAAAATGACAAGTAGGTCATTAGATGCGTTAAAAGTGCCGAGCCCCATTGAGTTATTCTATATTTTAAGTCGACTCTTTAGGGGTGATTGATTATTGTGTCATGTATTTAAAATCTTTTATCACTTTATCCTCCTTTTAAATTATATATTAATTTTAATATTTTATTAAAATTATATATTAAAGTATTTCTGTTTGACTATGTTGACCGTTAATTACTTTAGTAAATAACTTACTCGAGTTGTTCCAGATAACCCAACAACATAGTAGCCCAAAGGCCCAAGCCCAAACTCCCTATCCACGTCAGCCCTACCAATCCTCTGCTCCCCAACCCCCGATGCGGTGACACTTCCTAGGAGAGACACCAAAATGTCTCGACTTGGGATTCTAGCCCCTAAGGAGGTCGCCCCAGGTGCCTAAAGAGGAAACTGCCCTTTGCCACATGCTGACATCGCCAGGCATAAGGGATGCATCACTGCTATCATAGCAGTGACTGCCACCCCCAGCAACGTCTGCCTCCCAGAGCAGATACCAAGGAGGGTTGACCCCCTCCTCACCAACCCATACAGAATCGCATCACCTTTCTCTATAAATAGCCCACCAAGGGCACACAACCAGGTATCTTATGTATCGTTATTCTGCCCATTTACATTGAGTACACTTACACACACCTTACCCCATTATCATCCGCATATATACTTGGAACAATGTCTTTGAGCTTGGTCTATACCAACGCTTAGAGCATAATCCATACACTGACTCAATCCCTACCGAGAACATAGTGGGCTTATAGACCTCAAACGGTACACGAGTAATTCAGGTAATGGGTAATTTAAATTTTGATCCACGAATATTTTTTTATCAAAACCAAATCATAATGTCTTGTAGGCATATAAATAAATTTTTGGGATAGGTGTTTGTGGCCTGCGGGTCATTTACAAATTACAATTAAGGGTGGTTCTCATTCAATTTAAAGTGTCAACTTAATTTTATGTTAATTTTCAATATGACTAGTTAAATTGGATTATTTTTTTATTAATCCATGTTTATTGTTATATCATGCACACATATATTTAGACTTTATATATGAGTTCGAGGGTCCAAAACAATTGAGAACAATCTTCATCAAAGTTCTTCATACCCTAAACTAAATTTAATAAATTAAATTTTATGTGCACATTTATGTTTATGTGGCATTGCTTTTAAATATTTATGTTCATTTACTTTTTCATTCCCAAAACCCATGAAATAATCATTTTTTTGGAATTTTGTTTGACCAAATCCCTTTTGATATTTGTTATCGCATAAATCTTGAAAGTTAAGCGAAATAAAAAAAAAATCTGATTCGGACAACCGAGCCAAAAATTATGTCTTTTCAAAGTTTACATAATTTTAGGATATGAAAAGCTTATATGGAGACTGTTCTCAATCATTCTGGAACCACAAACACTCATCTCAAATTCATTTATACATGTACAAGATATTAGAACTTGATTTTAATAAAAATTATTCCTGGATCAAAATTTGAATTATTCACTTACATAAGTTACTCGAGTAACTAGTCTCATTTACTTGAACAACTAGCTGTCAATGCGGTCCAACATAGAAAAATTGGTGATAATTTTTGAAAAAAAAGGACAAAAGAGTCCATTAACACTCCTTTTTAAGACTAATATGTAAATTTATTCTCATAATTTAATCTCATATGGTCATTTCTAGAGGTGGCAATACGAGTTGGTCCACCCTGATCCGTCCCGCCATCAACCCGTCAAAAATATAGTGAGGTGAGTTGACCTGCCATGAATATTGGTTGAAAAATAAACCCACCCTATTTTAACCCGTCAATTAAAAAATTAATTAAAATTTAAAATGAATTATATTTTATGAATTTTATAATATTATTTAATTTTATTTCACACTCATCTTAATTGTTTTCGATCTCAATCTAACATATATACTAATATTCAGTTAAATATTCGTTGGGAACTCATTTGTCTCCATATATAAATAAAACTTGTCATAAATAAAGCTTTTATTCTTTATTATTTTAAGGAGTACTAAGATTTAAAAAAATTGGATATCATAAGAGCTTAATAACAAATAAAATACTATTTAATTGTAAAAAAAAAAATATGACCTGGCGAGTCAACCTGCCCCACAAGGCCAGGACGAGTTGAATTGACCAATTTTTAGACCGGACGGATTAGCGGGTTAATTTGCGGGACTCAACCCATATTGCCACCCGCCTGTTATCTTGAGTAGAAATACTTGGAAGTTGCAATCTTCAAGGGTATTAGTCAAAATATTAATACTTAAGTTGTACGTCCCTCACTATATGTTTATTGATTCAAATTATACATCAATTAATATACTTATAATTTTATTTAAATTTACAAAGTATATATTGAAATTGCAAAGTATGTATTTAGAATTTTTTTTTGGGAAAACTTTAAAAATCCCCCTACAAGTTTCCTCAAAATCACTTAACTCCCTCCCCAAAAATTTTAATCATTTACTCCTTACTTAAAATTTCTTTATCACTTACCCCCTAATTTGATTTTTCATCCAAAATATTGTTAACAGACTTAAATTTTTTAAAAGGCATCAAAATTAACCTTTATAGAAAAAAGAAAAACATAATTTTCTCACCAACACAGTTTTAGACAAACTCACATAAGCAATACGTGAATGTAAATCAACGATTGAATTCCCCCTCTACTCTCAACGACACAGAAAACAATGAAATAGCACATTCTGCATGTTTGCTTGGTAATATCATATGATTAAGAGAAAAACAAGGCATATATGAAGCACAGAATGTAAAGCTTTTCAGTTGCTGTGCAAGCAAAATAAAGTGCGGCTCTGAATAAATTTATAAAGTCAGATTTGTTGGTTATATAAAAGCAG